TCACCGTCTTTTTTTTTTTTTTTTTTTGAGTAGATGGAATTTGCTCTTGTCACCCAGGCTGGAGTACAATGGCACCATCTCGGCCCACTGTAACCCTCTGCCTCTGAGATTCGGCGATTCTCCTGCCTCAGCCTCCCGAGTAGTTGGGATTACAGGTGCACATGCCACCATACCTGGCCAATTTTGTATTTTTAGTAGAGACGGGGTTTCTCCATGACGGTCAGGCTGGTCTTGAGCTCCCAACCCCTCAGGTGATCGGCCCACCTCGGCCTTCCAAAGTGCTGGGATTACAGGCATGAGCCACTTCGCCCAGCCTCTATCTTTTTTTTTTTGGATACAGGGTCTCACTCTGTCACCCAGGCTGGAGTGGACTGTGGCGGTACACACACTGCTCACTGCAGCCTCGACCTCCTGGGTGCCACTGAACCTTCCACTTCCGCCTCCCAAGTAGCTGGGACTACAGGTACACATCACTACACCCAGCTACTTTTTGTATTTTTTGTACAAAAATTGTAAAAATTTTTGGTGGGTTTCACCATGTTGCCCAGGCTCAAACTTCTGAGATCAAGTGATCCTCCCACCTTGGCCTTGAAAAGTGCTGGGATTATAGGCCTGAGCCATTGTACCCAGCCCACCCTCATTGTTTTGTTTTTTTTTTCTTGAGACAGAGTTTTGCTCTGTTGCCCAGGTGGGAGTGCAGTGGCACAATCTTGCCTCCCAGAGGTAGCGATGAGCCAAGATTGTGCCACTGCACTTCTGAGCAATTCTCCTGCCTCAGCCTCCTCAGCAGCTGGGACTATAGGCACATGCCACCACTCCTGGCTAATTTTTATATTTTAAGTCAAGATGAGGTTTCACTGTGTTGGCCAGGCTGGTCTTGAACTCCTGACCTCAGGGTGATCTGCCTGCCTTGGCCTCTCAAAGTTCTGCAATTACAGGTATGAGGCCCTGTGCCCAGCCCAGCCCTTTTAAAACCAGTGTTCTGACGGCCGGGTGCAGTGGCTCATGCCTGTCACCCTAGCACTTTGGAAGGTGGATCACCTGAGGTAAGGAGTTCGTGACCAGCCTGGCCAACATGGTGAACCACCCTCTGCCAACTACTAAAATGTAAAAATTAGATGAGCGTGATTGTGAGAACTTGTAATCCCAGTTACTTGAGAGGCTGAGACAGGAGAATCACTTGAACCTGGGAGGCGGAGGCTGCAGTGAGCCAAGATCTTGCCACTGCACTCCAGCCTGGGCAACAAGAGCAAGATCCCATCTCCAAAAAAACCCAAAACAACAACAACAACAAATCAGTGTTGTGAAGTGCATTGCTTTTGAGTTTTATATTTCATAACATGACTGCTACTCTTTAGCTTCACTGTGTATGAAAGGGGGTTCTTGATTTGTTGCTGCTGCTGTTTTTTAAGTCAAAATCTCTCTTTTCTTCCCTGGATTGGGTCAAGGCCGGGGCCCTGGGAAGTACCTTGATGAACTCGTGGCTGTGCTGTTCCATGAGCTCCAGCTTCTCTGAGAGATGGCCTGGGGTGCAGGGACACAGACACTGAAGTCACAGGAGATGTGGGTCAGAGGCCGAAGGAAGGGAAGGTGGTGGCCCAGGCTGGAGGACGAGGTGTAACAATGTCCCAGAAAAACTACAGGATGGGTAAGAGGTGCCCTCACCCCGAGTCCGTGGGTAACTCCCTGGCCCCTCCTCCACCCTGTGACTTGTCCTGGTCCAAGGCAAAGCCAAGGTGTCGGTCCTGAAAAAGGATTCTAGGAATGGTGGAGGGGAGGCGGGGAGGAAGGAGAGGGCGCGGGGCATCGGGCAGCAGGAATGCTACCCAGGAGGGAATTTCCACAGAGCATTTTGTCCATGAAGCCTCGGGTAAAGGCGTGCACGAAGATGCAGGACGTCAGCAGACCGAGTTTTTCCTGGTATTTCCCCCTCTGCACCTCAATGGTCAGCTCTCCCTGAGGCTCCCCGGTGTCCGAGACCATGGCCAGCGACTCGGAGAAGAACAGCAACTGTAGCTCCTCGTACTCTGGGGTGAGGAGCCCGTGGGAACAGATACAGCCACTGCTCCTGGGCCTTAATCCTCGGACCCCACGACCACCAGGGTCCCCACTGTCCCCACCTGCCTGCTCATCCCACAGCCTTCCTCATTGGCGTGGGCGGGGGAAGACTCCTCCCCCATGTCCCCATGTCCCTGGGGCCTTCCCTTCCCTTGAAGAATGTCAACAAATAGGCCTCAGGCATTTTCTGAGTCCCAGGAGAATCAAGGAAGAGAGAGAGAGAGAGAGAGAGAGAGAGAGAGAGAGAGAGAGAGAGAGAAAGAGAGAGAGAGACAGAGAGAGAGAGAGAGAGAGACTGAAGAGACTGGACCTTCTCTCTTCCCTGCGCTCCAGATGTGCACCCCTCCCCACACCCCCATCGGCGACACCGTCTGAGCTCACCAAGGGAGCTGAGGAAGTTGATGGCTTCGGCATTGGCCTCTGGGAACGGCAGACCCTCCGCACCCGAGGGTTGGTGGTCCTCGGTTCTGGATCCTACGGAAAGAGGAGAGGCTAAGATGGCAGACCCTGGGGAGAAGGACAGGGGTCAGGGAGGCAAGGCAGGGTACCTCAGTCCCGGCCCCAGCACCCCAGAACAGAATCCTCCCAGACTACCCCAAGGTGGATTGGAAGGGAGAAGCGGGGCCCCGCCTCCAGCAGTCCTCTTCCCACCTGCGGAGTGAACTTTGGAGGACATACTGTGGGCCTCTACCCGGTCTGTGTGCAGCTGTCTCCATGGAAACCAGAGCTGGCTCGTGCCTCTTAAAGGGCCATCGACCCACTTCACTACACTCAGACCTTGGAGGACACTGCAGGTTTGGGGCTCAGCACAAGCCTGAGGTGTTGTCCAGCAGAGGGAGCACTTGATATTCTTTTTTTCCCCTCTTTTGAGACGGAATCTCTCTCTGTTACATGAGCTGAAGTGCAGTGGCGCCATCTCAGCTCACTGCAACCTCCGCCTCCCGGGTTCAAGCGATTCTTCTGCCTCAGTAGCTGGGACTACAGGCCTCCACCATGCCTGGCTAATTTTTGTATTTTTAGCAGAGATGGGGTTTCACCATATTGGCTAGGCTGGTCTCGAACTCCTGACCTGGCTCACACCTGTAATCCAGCACTTTAGGAGTCCCAGGCTGGTAGATCACTTGAGGCCAGGAGTTTGGGACCAGCCTGGTCAACATGGTGAAACTCTTCTCTACTAAAATCACAAAAATTACCAGGGAGTAGTGGCACATGCCTATAATCTGTCTCAAAAAAAAAAAAAAAAAAAAAAAAAAAAAGACCTTAGAAGATATGACCCAAAGTCAGACAGAGCCTCACATCCACACTAATTAGATGCTATTAATTAGACCTAATTAGATGCTACATGAATATCTCTGCAAGTTGCAGTCTTAATACGTGTGACAATAATGATAACAGTGACAATCATAGCAAACCCTTCGACTGAACTTACTCCTGGTGAAGCGATCTTTTTTTTTTCTTTTTCTTTTTTTTTGAGACGGAGTCTTTCTCTGTCAACCAGCCTGGAGTGCAGTGACGGTGCCATCTTGGCTCACTGAAACTTCTGCCTCCTGGGTTCAAGTGATTCTTCTGCCTTAGCCTCCTGAGTAGCTGGAACTACAGGAGTGTGCCACCAAGCCAAGCTAATTTTATTATTATTATTATTATTATTATTTTGGTGGTTTTTTTTTTGAGATGGAGTTTCACTTTTGTTACCCAGGCTGGAATGCAGTGGCGTGATATCGGCTCACTGCAACCCCCGCCTCCCAGGTTCAAGTGATTCTCCTGCCTCAGCATCCCGAGTAGCTGGGATTATAGGCATGTGCCACCATGCCCAGCTAATTTTTTTTTTTTTTTTAGTAGAGATGGGATTTATTATTTTTCTTTTTTTCTTTTTTCTTTTTCTTTTCTTTTTTTTTGAGGGACGGAGTTTCTCTCTTGTTACCCAGGCTGGAGTGCAATGGCACGATCTCGGCTCACCGCAACCTCTGCCTCCTGGGTTCAGGCAATTCTCCTGCCTCAGCCTCCTGAGTAGCTGGGATCACAGGCACACGCCACCATGCCCAGCTAATGTTTTGTATTTTTAGTAGAGACGGGGTTTCACCATGTTGACCAGGATGGTCTCGATCTCTTGACCTCGTGATCCGCCCGCCTCGGCCTCCCAAAGTGCTGGGATTACAGGCTTGAGCCACCGCACCCGGCCTTCTTTTTTTCTTTATTTTTTTTTTTTTCGAGATGGCGTCTCGCTCTGTCACCAAGCTGAAGAATAGTGGTGTAATCTCGGCTCACTGCAGCCGCCTCCTTAAAGTGATTCTCCTGCCTCAGCCACCCAAATAGCTAGGACTACAGGCATGTGCCACCACGCCCAGCTAATTTTTGTACTTTTTGGTAGAGACGGGGTTTCACCATGTTGACCAGGATGGTCTCGATCTCTCGACCTCCTGATCCACCCGCCTTGACACATAACTTTCTAACAGGTTTGGAAGCTCTGAGTTTATCTTGAGACCTCAAGAGGAGAGATCACTCAACTCACAAGTATTAGAGGATACCAGCTTTGCAAATCTGAAATTCCTTGTGAAATAGAGTTTCGTCAAAGCCAATCCGAAAGGCCTATGTAAAAATAACCATTCTTGTTGCACTTTATGCAAATAATCAGACCAAGTATAAGACTAAAGTTTATTCATAATTAGTTTTTACCAAAAATGAGGCCTGAAGTGAAGAATTTTGCTCCAAAGCTTATCATACATTTGTCATCAAGTCCTAGTCTCATTAATTGTTTTTAAGCTTTTTGTCCTGCTTATTCCTTTGAATCAAGTGGTGATCTTCTGCAACTTAAAAAAAAAGTGGGGGGATGGGAAATGCAGAAATGTGAATCGATATGCTAGTTCTGGACAATTATCTTGCAAATTCTGCCATGTAATGAAAGTGAGAAACCTGGAGATTTCTTTGTTTGGGAAAATAAAACCAGTGTTGGGCAGTGGCAGTATCGTAGCCAGTGAGGTTTATCTGAGATGTGATTATTGCTAATTGAAACTTGCCAATACCTCATCATGGCAGTTTGAAATATATCCGCATTGGCAATTTTTGACAGTCTCTATGAAGACTGAATTAAAAAATAAAAAGAATAAAAATAATAAAAAGAAAATAAAACCAAGCAACTTCATAGACCCCCAAAGGGGAATTGAATATGTTGGCAAGTAAAATTTTAGGTGGAAATTATCTACCACACCACGCTCGTGGGAACTGCCATCCTCATTCCAATATTTGCAACAGGGTTATACACGGTAGCACCTTCTCACTAAATTTTTTTTTTTTTTGAGACGGAGTTTCGCTCTTGTTACCCAGGCTGGAGTGCAATGGCACGATCTCGGCTCACCGCAACCTCTGCCTCCTGGGTTCAGGCAATTCTCCTGCCTCAGCCTCCTCAATAGCTGGAATTATAGGCATGCACCACCATGCCCAGCTAACTTTTTGTATTTTTAGTAGAGACGGGGTTTCACTATGTTGACCAGGATGGTCTCGATCTCTTGACCTCGTGATCCACCCACCTCGGTCTCCCAAAGTGCTGGGATTACAGGAGTGAGCCACCGCGCCCGGCCCCTAACTAAAATATTGGACAGAGTATTGCTGTCGTATTATGCTTAATTGTTATCCTTATAACTGGGATAATAATTACTGACAAAAAGGAAGCATAGAAGTTTTACTATCACCAAGTCTGCTAAGACTTTTTATTGAGTGCACTTTTAAATGAAATGCACTTTAAAATGAAACATGCTGCCTTTGGATTAACAGCTAGTAAAGTAAAAGGAAATCTACAGGTACTTAAAAATCAAATCAGGCCGGGTGCAGTGGCTCACACGTGTAAATCCCAGCATTTTGGGAGGCTGAGACAGGCAGTCACGAGATTAGGAGATCAAGACCATCCCAGCTACTCAGGAGGTTGAGGCAGGAGAATCACTTAAACCCAGGAGGTGGAGGTTGCAGTGAGCTGACACTGCACCATTGCACTCTAGCCTGATGACAGATTCTGTCTCAAAAAAAAGAAAGAAAGAAAGAAAGAAAGAAAGAAAACTTATATGGCCAGGCACAGTGGCTCACACCTATAATCCTAACAATTTAGGAGGCTGAGGCAGGAGGATTGCTTGAGCTCAGGAGTTAAAGACCAGCCTGAGATACAGTGTAAGACTCCATCTCTACAAAAAAATCAAATAATTAGCTGGGCATGGTGGCACGTGCCTGTAGTCTCATTTACTCGGGTGGCTGAGGTGGGAGGATTGCTTGAGCCTGGGAGGTTGAGGCTGCAGTGAGCTATAATTGAGCCACTGCACTCCAGCCTGGGTGACAGAGTGAGACTCTGTCTCGAAAAAATGAAAACAAGAAAACCATAGCTGCTTTGGGAAGCAGTTTGGAAGTTCCCCAAAAAGCGAAATGTAGTGTTATAGCTCTTTTATAATTTGTGTAGCAGGCTTTTTGGTTTTTGCTGGAAAGCCCCCAAGTAAACAAAACAAAACAAAACAAAACATTGAAAGCTACATGTGGAGTTACTATGTCTTAGCAATTCCACTCATAGGTGTATACCCAAAAGAACTGAAAACAGGGGCTAGGGGAGGGGTGGGATGAAAAGAAATACCTAATGTGGATGACAAGTTGATGGGTGCAGCAAACCACCATGCCATGTGTATACCTATGGAACAAACCTGCACATTCTGCACGTGTATCCTAGAACTTAACGTATTAAAAAAAAAATCCCCTCCCCAAAAAAGGAATTGAAAACATATGTCTACACAAAAACTTGTACAGGAATGTTCACAGCATTGTTCATAATAGACAAAAAATGGAAAAAATCCGACTAACAACTGTCAAATGGATAAACAAAATATGGAATATTCATATATGGAATATTTTTGTGCCCAGATGCAGTGGCTCATGCTTGTAATCCCAGCATTTGGGAGGCCGAAGCAGGCAAATCTCTTGAGCCCAGAAGTTCGAGAACAGCCTGGGCAACACGATAACAACCACATCTCTACAAAAAATACAAAAGTTAGCTAGGTGTGGTGTCATGCACTTATAACGCCAGCTACTTGGGAGGCTGAGGTGGGAGGTTTGTTTCGCCCTGAAGGTGGAGGTTGCAGTGAGCCAAGACACTGCACTCCAGCCTGGGCGACAGAGTAAGAACCTGTCTCAAACAAAAAAAAGGAAGAATATTATCCAGCTATACAGTGAAGTACTGACACATATCCAACATGGATGAACCTTGAAAACATGTTGAGCAAAAGAAGCCAGTCACAGAAGGCCACATAATGTATGATTTCATTTATATGAAATGTCCTAAATATGCTAATCTATAGAGACAGAAAGTAGATTGGTGAATGCATAGCATTGGGAGAGGGTGGGGTCTTGAAGGCAGGGAGTGATGTTAAATGGGCATGCAGTTTCTTTTGGGGATGATGACATGTTCTAAAATTATATTGTGGTGATTGATGGTCGCAAATCTGTATATACTAAAAACCACTGAATTGTACTTTTTTGAGAATGAGTCTCTCTGTTGCCCAGGCTGGAGTGCAGTGGCACGATCTCGGGTCACTGCAACCTCTGCCTCCCAGGTTCAAGCGATTCTCCTGCCTCAGCCTCCTGAGTAGCTGGGATCACAGGCACGTGCCACCACACCTGGCTAATTTTGTATTTTTAGTAGAAATGAGGTTTCGCCATGTTGGCCAGGCTGGTCTCGAAGTCTTGACCTCAAGTGATCTGCCCACCTTGGCCTCAAAGTGCTGGGATTACAGGCGTGAGCCACTACGTGCCCGGCCTGAATTGTACTTTTTAATGGGTGAATTTTGTGTTATGTGAATTTTTTTTTTTTTTTTTTGCGGCAAGAGTCTCGCTCTATCGCCAGGCTGGAGTTCAGTGGCAGGATCCTGGCTCACTGCAACTTCCATTTTCCAGTTTCAAGCAATTCTCCTGCCTCAGCCTCCCAAGTAGCTGGGACTACAGGCATTCACCACCATGTGCGGCTAATTTTTTTTGCATGTGTATTTCTTAGTAGAGACGGGGTTTCATCAGGTTGACCAAGATGGTCTTAATCTCTTGACCTCGTGATCTGCCCACCTCAGCCTCCCAGTGCTGGGATTACAGGTGTGAGCCACTGCGCCCGGCAAGTTGTGTGAATCTTATCTTAAAAAAGCTGTCTATAAAACATACGGACGCACGATCAGAGCTCACCGTAACCTCGACTTTCTGGGCTGAGGCAATCCTCCCGCCTCAGTCTCCCACCTATCTGGGAATACAGGCTTGCACCACCATGCCAGGCCCTCACTGCTCCTTGGTCAGGCCCACCCAGCTGCATAAGGCAACTGTCTGCCTGTCCTCACAGCCTCCCCACCTCCTGGGAGCTCATGTTCTCAACTCTCTTTCCCCTCTGCCACCAATTCCTTCCTCTTGGTGCTGGCTATCTTCTGCCAGTGGCTAGGGGTGAAACCGTTTGTCAAAGTAGATTGCAGAAGGACTAACGTCCAGTTTGTGGTCTATTTTTTAACTCTTGGGAAGAAATCTAGCTAGAAGTGGCATTGGCCTGGCATAGTGGCTCATGCCTATAAATCACAACATTTTGGGAGGCTGAGGCGGGAGGATCACTTGAGCCCAGGAGTTGGAGACCAGCCTGGGCACATAGCCAGACCCTGTCTCTACAGAAAATTTTAAACAATTATCTGGGTCAGGCTTGGTGGCTCATACCTGTCTATAATCCCAGCACTTTGGGAGGCCAAGGTGGGTGGATCACTTGAGGTCAGGGGTTCGAGACCAGCCTGGCCAATATGGGAAAACCCCGGCTCTACTAAAAATACAAAAATTAGCCAGGCGTGGTGGCGGGTGCCTGTGATCCCAGGTACTCAGGAAGCTGAGGCACGAGAATCGCTCGAACCTAGGAGGTGGAGGTTGCAGTGAGCCGAGATCACACCACTGCACTCCAGCCTGGGTGACAGAGTGAGACTCAGTCTCGAAAAATACATACATACATACATACCTACATACATACATACATAAAAATTAAAAAATTATTGAGGCATAGTGGCATGTGCATATATAGTCCCAGGTACTCAGTGGCTGAAGTGGAAGGATCTCTTGAGCCCAGAAGTTCAAGGCTACAGTGAGCAGTGATGGCGCCGCTGCACTCCAGCCTGGACGACAGTGGGAGACTGTCTATAAAAGTCAAAAAGCGTTGTCATGCACCTTAGGCCAATGTAGGAACACTCTGGAGCAGGATGATATACCTGCTGTGTGGCGTGGGGTAGGTTGGCCTGTCTGAGCCTGTGAGGTAGACAGTTGCCTAGCCGCTGGGATCAGTTTCTGCTGAACAACTCCTAACCTGGAGGGGGCTGGCTCTGTGCCGAGCTCTGTGGTTATTAACTCATCAATCCTCACAACAAACTTCGAAGGTCAGTAATATTATCACCCCATTTGACAGATGAGAAATCGAGGCACAGAAAGGTTAACTAACTTGTTCGAGGTCACCGATGGCAAGTGTGGACTTTAAACTGGATGGGCTGACTCCAGAGTCCATGTTCTTTATCTGTTTGTTCTACTGCTCCTGGCAGACTAACCTTATCAGTAACACTAACAGGAAGGAGAGGCTGCTGTTAACACCTCTGTGCTGTTAACACTTCTGTACAAAAGAACAAGATCATGTTTTTTGCAGGGACGTGGATGGAGCTGGAGGCTCATTATCCTCAGCAAACTAACGCAGGAACAGAAAACCAAATACTGCAAGTTCGTACTGATAAACGGAAGCTAAATGGATACATAGAGGGGAACACACACTGGGGCCTGTTGGAGGGGGGAACCTCTCTACAAGGAGGCTCAGTGATCCTGAGTCACCACCCAGTGTTACACACAGCCAATCAGAGCAGAGCTTGTGCTTGTGATCAGTCCAGTTTCAAGTGCCCTGTTTCTACCACCAGCATTTGGCCCGAGCCTAGTGTTTATGGACCACTGGTGTTAGTTCCCACCTCTTTCAAAGGCTCCATCTGTGGGCAGGGCTTTGGAGGAGTAAGACCACCCCCACCATGCACACATGCACGCACAGGGTTTTCACATCTGTTTCTTCAGTTTCTTCCCTGGACCACCTAAGGCTGCCCAGTTATCCCCACTCTCTTTCTCCCTTTCTACCCCCAGAGAGAGCTAGTCTGGGATCCAGGAAAAAACAAATTTACAAATGAACTGCTTGCTGGTTTTTTTTTTTTTTTTTTTTTTTTTTGAGACGGAGTTTAGCTCTTGTTACCCAGGCTGGAGTGCAATGGCTCGATCTCGGCTCACCGCAACCTCCGCCTCCTGGGTTCAGGCAATTCTGCTGCCTCAGCCTCCTGAGTAGCTGGGATTACAGGCACGTGCCACCATGCCCAGCTAATTTTTTTGTATCTTTAGTAGAGACGGGGTTTCACCATGTTGACCAGGATGGTCTCGATCTCTTGACCTTGTGATCCACCCGCCTCAGCCTCCCAAAGTGCTGGGATTACAGGCTTGAGCCACCGCGCCCGGCCTTGCTGGTTATTTTTAAAACTACGTGTTATTCAAACACCTTTGAGGCCGGGCGCCCACCTCCATTTCCTCTCTATAATAATTAATCATAGCACCAGAAACTTGATACTGCATTTTTTTTCTCTTCTTTCTTTTTTTTTTTTTTTTTTTTTTTGAGACGGAGTCTCGCTCTGTCTCCCAGGCTGGAGTGCAGTGGTGCGATCTCGGCTCACTGCAACCTCCGACTCCCTGGTTCAAGCAATTCTCCTGCCTCAGCCTCCCAAGTAGCTGGAATTACAGGCATGTACCACCATACCCAGCTAATTTTTGTATTTTTAGTAGATACAGGGTTTCACCTTGTTGGCCAGGATGGTCTTGATCTCTTGACCTCATGATCTACCCGCCTTGGCCTCCCAAAATACTGGGATTACAGGCATGAGCCGTCATGCCTGGCTTTCCCTCCCCACTTTCAGTTCTCCATAGTTCAGTTGGATCTGACACTGGCCTTCGGAGTATGGTCAAATGAGACTTGGCCTGGCCAGTCCAAGAAGCCCATTCCCCTAACTCCTAGGATTGGTTCAGGGTTGGGCACGTGACCCCAGCTAAATCAATGAAACTCAAGCCTTAGAACTATTGGAGGCCCCACTAGGTTTGATGAACTTGTAGCCTAGAAAGCTGGAACTTCTAGAGACCATCTTTCTACTCCAGGGAGAAGCCTGACGGAGACTGAAACCGACGCAGAAGAAAGCAGAGCCGAATGGATATTCCCATTGAGTCCCTGGATTCAGCCATGCCTGAAGCCACCATGACGTCATCCCACACTTCTCAATTTCGTGAGCTGATAAATTCTCCTTTTGTTTTGAGTATTTCTCTCTTGCACCTAAAAGGTTCTGACTCGTTCAGGGTTGACCTTTCCATTGGAAGGTGAAGAAACTGAGGTCACGGAAATGACTTTCTCAAGGTCACTTGGATATTGAATGACAGAGCTGGGACTGGAATCCAGGACCATAAGGCCTGTGATGCCTGCTGTTCTGCAAGCAAGGGGCACGTGGTCTGGTTGTTAACTGCTCAGTGCCAACTCCAGGAGAGGCATGTGCCCATCATTCGGTACAGATGGCCCAGTTGGAGGATGGCCCTAACCCCAGAGAACCATCACCAGGTGCCCCTCGAAACAGGGCATACCCAGAGTGATCTGCATACACCAGGGCCTGGCCCTGTAGTCTGTCCGCCCAAGATAGCAGTGACTCAAACATATCAGAGCACACAGAGCCACTTTCTTCAGGAAGGTGAAGACACAGTCCATCGCTCCAGCCCAGGTGCAGCTGTGATCCAAGATAGCTGGGCCAGTGCCAAGGTCCTTGGCCTGGGATGAAGGGCATCTAAGAGGGGAGGCTGAACTGTGGCCAGGGTGGGAACGCTGTGTGTTGGGCTGGCCCCAAGGAAGTCTGGGGCTGAGCCAGGGCTTCCTGGTCCTCAGCCATGTCAAGGCTACCTTCAAGAGCTTTGCTCTAGCCAAGTGAAATAGGAGAATAGTATTCTCCTATTTCAATAAATAGCTTTAATCATTTTTATGAACTGAAAACCAGTGTCACTTGTCAAAAATAAATAATTGGCTGGGCATGGTGGCTCACACCTGTGATACCAGCACTTTGGAGGCTGAGGCGGGCAGATCACGAGGTCAGGAATTCGAGACCAGCCTGGCCAATATGGTGAAACTCCATCACTAGTAAAAATACAAAAATTAGCCTGGCATAGTGGTAGGCGCCTGTAGTTCCAGCTACTGGGGAAGCTGAGACAGAAGAATCACTTGAACCTGGGAAGCGGAGGTTGCAGTGAGCCGAGATCGTACCTCTGCACTCCAGCCTGGGCGACAGAGTGAGACTCCATCTCCAGGAAAAAAAAAAAGAAAGAAAGAAAAAAAGGCCAGGCATGGTGGCTCATGCCTGTAATCCCAGCACTTTGGGAGGCTAAGGCAGGTAGATCACAAGGTTACGAGTTCAAGAGCAGCTTGACCAATATGGCGAAAACCCGTCTCTACTAAAAATACGAAAAATAGCCAGGCACGTAGTCCCAGCTACTTGGGAGGCTGAGGCAGAATTGCTTGAACCTGGGAGGCGGAGGTTGCAGTGAACCAAGATTGCGCCACTGCACTCCAGCTGGGGTGACAGAGCAAGACTCCATCTAAAAAAAAAAAAAAAAAAAAAAAAAAAAATTGACCCCAGAGATAAATACAATGAAAACAAAATGATGTTGTTAAAGTTTAACTGGAGACACTTGCCCTAACTAAAGTATGAACCTGGATCTCAGGTCTTTCTTCCCAAAGGCATTGAAGACACACTAGTGCCAAGGCTGTGCCCTTGAAGTAGGATTGATTGCTGTGCTGTGACCACGGACAGACACCCTACTTCGGCCAGTGGTACACTTGTGCATCCTAAGCTTTGGGAAACACTGAGATAAGCAAATTGTAAACCCTGAACCAATGCCCTTGGCCGTGGAAGGAATATATTTAGGGCATCCTTTCTGATCAAGGCTCTTGAAGTGCCTAACACCAAGTTAGCAGCCATGGAACTGAGCTGGGAAAACTGTGAGAACATTCTCTGCTGTGTTTGCTCATGTAGCAACAAAGACAAGCTGCTGAATGATCAAGCCTTGGTTAAATCATTCATTCATTCAACATTTATTGAGCGCCTACTGTGTGCTAGGCACCGTGCTAGGCGCAGAAATACAGAGATGCATAAGATACAGTCCATGCCCTTAAGGATTCACAGTCTAGAATGGGAGACAAACATGTAAACAAGGAAATTATGGTGTGATAAGTGTCACAAGAGAAGCATTGACAAAGTGCAGAGGTAGCCTGGAGGGGAGGGGGACAGGGGTTGCCTTCCAGGAGGAGGGGGCCTTTGAGGGGATCGTGAGAGATGAGCAGGTGCTTGCCAGGCAGACGAGGCAGGAGGGGCACGGGAAGGCATTCCAGTCGGAAGAAACAACATGAGCGAAGGCACAGAGGCATGAAACTGCATGTCTTGCTTGGTGAGTGAGGAACTCTAACTAGTCTAGTGGTATTGCTAAAGTGTACTAGAGGCTGTCGCTGGAGCAGGGCGCAGAGGCCAGATGATGAGGGCAAACTGAGGGCAGGGGCATCTTGGAGGTTCACCAGAGGTGAGCAGAGCCCGAGGGCACACTTTGACACAGGAAGAGAGGGCTCCTGGCTGACCCAAGGTACACCTGCCTGAGGACCGCAGGGTTCCTCACTGTGGCCCCAAAGGGATCTGGACCCACGACTAGAGGAGCAGCAGAGCTGAAGGTGGAGTGAGCAGAGGGGCCGGGCCAGGCCTGAGGCCCAGAGCTGCCGTGCACTCCCACGCTCTGCTCACAGACTTCTGATTTCCATCCTGCACACGAGTCTCCTCCTCCCAGCGGGGAGAGGGCCTGGATCCAGTGGGAAATCACAGGGGAATGTGGCTGGCAAACCGCAAAGGGCCAGATGAGTGTCGGGTTACAGAATCAATCTTTACTAACTCAAAGAAGAAAGGGGCTGCAGATAAAGCCGGAGAGATTAGTTAGATGGAGGAAGGCAGGCCGATGGGCCTAAGAACAAGGGTCAAAATAAGAAAACCGCAGTGGCCAAAGAGGACCATGGCTCTCTCTCCCCTGGCAAGGAGGGGCCCTTGTGGTTCAGGGCAGGGACAGAGGCCAGCGGGCACGACCAGGCCAGATGAGTGAGGAGAGCATGTGACCTGCAAGACTGTGGGGCTCCGCATCTGAGCCTCCAGTGTCTCCTTAGCCCAAGGAGGAGGTTTCCATGGCAACCGGGACCCTCCTTCTTCCAGGCTGTAGGGAGGCCACTGAGGCAGAGAGTGGCCAGGCAGCCTTCCAGCCCTTCAGTGCTCTTAGGAATGGCTCTGTCTGAAAAATGCCTTTGCAGGGGTGGGTGGGGCAGGGAGGCCATGGGAGGAGGGCAGAATCTCAGGACACCAGAGTCCAGCTGTCCCTCTGAGTGCTGCTTTTGCAAGGCATCACACCTGAGGTCACTGTGAGGGGCTGGCTTCTTCCCCAACCCTGGATGGGGGATGGGCAAGATGGACTCAAGCTGCTCGTGGGCCCGGTCACCCTGAGTTCCAGGGCTACAGTGAGATGAGATTTCCCAAGGGAGGAGCTAACAGCAGCCCCCATGTCCTTGCTGCCATCCCAGGAGTAGGGAAGGAGGAGGGGACCCTCCCAGTCGGTAGGGTCTGGAGATGTCCCAAGACCCCTCCTTTCCTCTCTCCACTGAGGAGGCAGCCTCCCACTTCGGGGTTCACAGTCTCCCACCGGCCCCCTTCTCTGGGGCTCGAAGTCTCATCGCCTGGTCCCTCCCTCCCCTGAGCAATGTGGGGGATGATGCCCGCTTGGGTGCCGATGGAGGTGGTGGTGTTAGCGATGAGAAGGATGGTGAGGGGCGGGTGGCGGTGGCCTCCCCGTGAAGGGAGTGGGCTGGCTCGGGGCGCTGGGGCATCACTTGCTCTTGTGCATGTCCTTCAGCCGCCGGAGCTCTTCCAGGAGCTGGGCCCGGGAGCAGTCATCATCCCCAGTGGAGCCCGGGCCCGGCCCCAGAGCCTCCTGCAGCTCCAGGCAGTGGGTCCTCAGGAACGGGTTGTAGGAGCGCTCTTCTCCCAGGGTAGACGGGCACTGTGGGCGAGACGAACCAGGCTTGGTGGAGAGAAGCCGAGAGAGAGAAGCCTGCCCCGACCCCCGCCCCATCCCGGAGTTCAGAAGTTCTGACTTGAGGGCCCATGGACCACACAGGTCAGAGCTTTGGGGAGGTGCTGGCAGGCCTGGGGTCAGCACAGACAGGTGCCTGCCCACGCTGAGTTCCCACCCACGAGGCTCCTCCTGGACCCCGAGACCCTCACCGTGCCCTTGCGCTCCATCCGCTGCCGCTGTACCCACTGCATCTTCCTCTCCCGGGCCAGGTTCTCAGGCTCCACCACGCCTGCAAAGCCCAGGTTCTCCTCCGCATACTCATGACCTGGCGACAGCCGCAGGGATGAGATACAGCAGAGAGACCGGTGGAACGGTCAGAACAGTCCTCCCTGCCCCAGGGCCAGGCCGATGGGCACCCGACAGCCAGGGACGAGGGCAGCACTTCCAGGAAAACCCCAGCCTCCAGGAGCTGTTTCTCTAACTGTGGGCACAAGTCAGCCACGGGTGAAAAGATAGCAACAGTTCCGGGGTAAAAACTGCTAGGCCCGGAGCCGCAGGCCTGCCTCTAGCCCTGACTCTGCCACTCTGCCCAGTGCGTGACCTCGGGCTAGTCGCGGCACCTCTCTGAGACACAATTTTCTCATTTGGCAAGTGGAGAAAACAATAATGCCACTGGAAACGGATGGACCTGCTGTGTTCCCGGTGCCGAGAACAGAGCCTGGGATGTGTTCGGTATACATAAAGTATTTGTTGAAAGAATGAATATATGTTCTGAGGATTAACTGAGTTTTTTTTTTTTTTTTTTATGAGCGAACTGAGTTTCGCTCTTGTTGCCAGGCTAAAGTGCAATGGCACCATCTCAGCTCACCTCAACCTCCACCTCCCAGGTTCAAGCAATTCTCCTGCCTCAGCCTCCCGAGCATACCATCATGCCCGGCTAATTTTTGTAGTTTTAGTAGAGACAGGGTTTCACTATGTCGGACAGGCTGATCTTGAACTCCTGGCCTCGTGATCCATCTGCCTCGGCCTCCCAAAGTGCTGGGATTACAGGCGTGAGCCACCACACCCAGCTAACAGATATTTGTGAATGTTTTTATGCACTACAAGGCAATGGTTACATGCAGAGTGGATTTACTCACTTCTCCCTAGAGAAGCAAGGGCTATTTTCTGTTCTAGGCTTGGGCTATGAACAATTAGACATCTCTCTGGAATGTCCTGGAGCCTGCAGAGCTTCCAGGAGGCTGGAGGGTGGCTGCCAGGGGAAGGTGGAATGAGAAGCAGAGGTGTTATGGAGCCCCCTCTCCAGGAAGAAGGGAGGCCAGAGCGCTGCCCCTACCCCTAGAGGTGGAGCTGTGTCGCTTCTGGGCAGAAACTGGGTTGGCCTGCTTTCTAGGGGAGGGAGGGGCAGGGAGGGCCCTTGTTACCGGCTGAGATGGGGTTGGAGGATGGGGAGGACCAGGGACATCTCACCAGGCCACAGCAGGGTGTCGTCTCCTAGCCCTAGCACAGTGTCCAGTGAGCTCAGCATGGTCTCTGCGTTGCCCTCAAAGGTCCGTCCTGGGTGGGGGTCAGAGGGTGTATCACAAGGCACAAGGATCACACAGTGTGGCATAAGGCACACAGAAACGGGTGGGAACCAGCTTGTAATGCTCTGGCTGGTCACCAGCCCTGACCGTGCCGTTGCCAGGCCCACCCAGGTATCTATTTCCTCCTTCTTACTGGGAGCTGGGCCCAACTGGTCACCCCTGGCCAAGCCCATCTGAAGTCTCCACTGCACACAGTGACATCTGAAGGTTCGGGCTGCAGAACCTTCAGGCTGAGCTCTCTTCCTCAGGCTTGGTAGACGCTGGACTGCTCTTTCCCGAAAGGAACCTCTTCACCCGTGCTGCCCTTTGGGACTCCACGCAACCTGGGACTTGAGATCCTCACCCACCGTCTCACTCAGGGGATCTTAACTTTCCATAATCTAGTCCTCCCAGTCACTGTATCAGAGAACCAGGCTCCATCCAGGGGAAACTAATTCCCTGCAGGGCTCTACTCAGCTACAGACATTCTCCCATTCTGTCAAGCAGCTGGGGGAAGTTTGTTTTTTTTTTTTTTTTGAGATGGAGTCTCGCTCTGTTACCCAGGCTGGAGTGCAGTGGTGCGATCTCGGTTCATTGCAAACTCCACCTCCTGGGTTCAAGCGATTCTCCTGCCTCAGCCTTCCAAGTAGCTGCCACCAAGCCTGGCTAATTTTTTTGTATTTTTAGTAGAGATGGAGTTTCACCATGTTAGCCAGGATGGTCTGGATCTCCTGACCTCGTGATCCACCTGCCTCAGCTTCCCAAAGTGCTAGGATTACAGGTGTGAGCCACTGAGCCCAGCTGCTAGAAGTCTTTCTTTTTTTTTTTTGAGTCAGAGTCTCACTGTTGCCCGGTCTGCAGTGCAATGGTACAAGCACAGCTCACTGCAACCTTGAATTCCTGGGTTCAAGCAACCCTTCTGCCTCAGCCTCCTGAGTAGCTGGGACTACAGGTGCGCTACCACACCCAGCTATTTTATTATTATTGTTATTATTATTTCAATTGAGACAGAGTCTTGCTCTGTTTACCAGGCTGGAGTGCAGTGGCATGATTTCAGCTCACTGCAACCTCTGCCTCCTGGGTTCAAGCAATTCTGCCTCAGCCTCCCAAGAAGCTGAGACTACAGGCTCGAGCCACCATACTCGGCTAATTTGTGTGTGTGTTTTTTTAGTAGAGATGGGGTTTCACCATATTGGCCAGGGTGATCTCAAACTCCTGACCTCATGATCCACCTGCCTCGGCCTCCCAAAGTGCTGGGATTACAGGCGTGGGCCACCACACCTGGCGAATTTTGTATTTTTAGTAGAGATAGGGTTTCTCTCCTTGTCAGTCAGGCTGGTCTTGAACTCTTGACCTCAGGTGATCCACCTGCCTCAGCCTCCCAAAGTGCTGGGATTACAGGCGTGAGCAATCGAGCCTGGATAAAATAAAATTTTTTTTTTGAGATGCAGTCTTGCTCTGTCGCCCAGGCTGGAGTGCAGTGGTGCGATCTCGGCTCACTGCGACCTTTGCCTCCCGGGTTCAAGCAGTTCTGTCTCAGCCTTCCGAATAGCTGGGATTACAGGCACATGTCACCAAATTGGGCTAATTTTTTTTTATTTTTAGTAGATACGAGGTTTCACCATGTTGACTAGGCTGTCTTAAACTCTTGACCTCAGTTGATCCACCCACCTCAGCCTCCCAAAGTGAGGGGATTACAGGCGTGAGCCACCATGCCCAGCCTATTAAAAAAATTTTTTTTTGGTAGAGACAGTCTTGCTATTTTGCGCAGTCTGGTTGCCAACTCCTGGCATCAAGTGATCCTCCTGCCTTAGCCTCCCAAGGTGCCCCATGGGAAGTCTCAAGGATTAAAATCAACCTGAGTAACAGATGGAAGTAACCACCACGGCAACATCTGTGCTAAAACTAATGCTTCAGTGCTTTTTGTGGGACTGTGGCTGCCCTGGCTTCTTCTCTCCCTCCCTCTCGCAGCTCCTCTCTTTTGGGGGAACTCACCACAGCCAGAGAGGAAGAGCAGGTCCCCTGAGAAGAGGCAGGAAGGACCCTTGTAGGGCTCCCCATCCAGTAGGTAGACCAGGTGGCCTTGTGTGTGGCCAGGGGTAGCCAGGGCCCGGATCTGAAGCCGTCCCACGCTGACCACATCTTGATGACACAGGGGACTGGGGAACAAGGCAGTAGGGGAGAGAAGGTACAGGAGGTGTGCCATGCTGATCCCTGCCCCCATCCCAGGCCCAAGGGGCTGGGTGATCACGAGAGGGTGGGCTTCCACACTAGAGAAGCTACTCCAGTGCCCAGGGTCCGAACCCTGCCTTTCCTCTTTTGGGGACGATGGCTGGATCAGTTGGGGGATGGGCAGTGCCAGTCTTCAGATAGGCTGGGATCGGTTCTCTAAGGGCCAGGAAGGGCATTGGCAAATATCCACCTGCTGATACCCCTGAAACACTTCACCAAAGGCTGGGGGTGAGGGAAAGGGCCCATGGAAGGGCTGTCTCTTGGCTAGGTCAGGGGACTTACTGGGTGAGGTAGGGGATGCCGTCCTGAGGGCTCCCGTACACCCGACAGTCCCGGTGACGCCGGCTGAGGTCACGGTTCCCTCCGCTGTGGTCCCTGCAGGGTGGCAGAGACAGGCAGAGGGCTTCAAGAGGCAACTGTACCTCAGCCCCCCTCTTTCCCGCAGCATCTCCAGGCCTTTGAGTTCTGGGGCTGTGGCTTCTGGACTGAGCCAACTTGTCCACACCCCTAGGCCTTTGTTTGAGCTATTCTCGTGCCCAGAACATCACCCACAATAATTTAGCCTGCCCAATGCCAGCCGATCTTCCTGGACTCTCAGCTCAGGTCAGCATCTTTTTTTTCCCCTTTGAGACAGATTCTCGCTCTGTCGCCAGGCTGGCGTGCAGTGGCACAATCTCTGCTCACTGCAACCTCCGCCTCCCGGATTCAAGTGACTCTCCTGCCTCAGCCTCCCAAGTAGCTGGGACTACAGGCATGCACCACCACCCCAAGATAATTTTTGTATTTTTAGTAGAGATGGGGTTTCACCACGTTGGCCAGGATGGTCTCGATCTCTTGACCTTGTCATCCTCTCGCCTTGGCCTCCCAAAGTGCTGGGATTACAGGTGTGAGCCACCATGGCTGGCCAGTCATCATCTTATAATTCTCCAAGTGGATCTGATCACACCCTGCCTGAGGCCTCCCATCCCTGTACCCTGTGCCAACTGCTACCTAAATACTTCTTTTTTTTTTGAAGACAAAGTCTCACTATGTTGCCCAGGTTGGGCTTGAACTCCCAGTTCTCTTGCCTCAGCTGTTATACACTTTGATACAGGGTAATCTCCCCTATTGGTGTTAGAATTTCTTTATGGAGAGTCCTGAGTTTTGTCCATGCCCAATGTGCAGTAGGTATCTAATACATGCTCATGAAATGAAAGAGAAATGACTGCCCTGCCCTCCTCTGGGGCTTCAGAACTTCAAGGAATGGAGTGGGGATGGGGGGATACTGCCCTCTCCTCCCTCTCTGCTGGTGTCCAGGTGGCTTCATAAGGAAGGTGGGTGCTGGCCTGGCCTGACTTCCTGACCTCCAGCCCTGGCCATCCTCACTGGGCCCAGTCCCAGCAAGCCCAGCCGGGACCACGAAGGACCAGGGAAGACGGTAGCCCCTTACCAGTGCTTGTGGGTACAGAGAATGGCGACCAAGGTGACACCTTCCTTCTCAATGGAAGCCTGCGGGAGAGAGGAGGTTTGGAGACGGGGCGATGCAGGGGAGACTCAGGGGATGCAGGGGAGACTCAGAGCAGCCAGAGCCAGGAGTGTGGAGTGTGCAGTGTGGGTGCTGGCAGAGAGGAGAGGACAGCAAGGTGGGCAGCGGGGAGCTGGAGGCAGGAGGGTGCAGCAGAGGGCACATGGAGGGCAGAGGGACACTTGTGCATGGAGAGAGGCAGACACAGAGAAATAAGGAATGGGAGGGAAGGGAAAAGACAGAGAGACCCAGATACTGACAGGCAGAGGTGACAGGAAGAAAGGGGGTCAGAAGGGGCCCAATGGGAGTGAGAGACAGCCACAGTCCTGGGCCAACACCCCCAGCCCTCTAGCTCTGCAGCCCCTACTCCTGCCCTCCCCTCTGCCCAGCCATGCCATATACACCCCCCTCCCCCAGGCCACGTGTGTGCATGTGCACGTGTGAACATGGAGCATACAGGACACATCCCATGGGCAGACAGACAAGGGACAACCCTCTCTAGCAAGGGGAAGCTGACAGTTCCCAAGGACAACCCCAGGCAACCCCTGCTCCCTGCCCTCCCCTCACCTGCACAGCCCGAGGGTCTGAAGGGTCCACAGCCACAGCCAGCTGTGCCTGGGTGTCGATGATGAGGTAGCTGTAGTTGTCGGAGAGGACGGGGATGGGAAGCACCTTCACTCCTGGGGACAGAGACGGGCTATGGCAGCGTAATCAGCAGGGAGCCCAGGGCTGGGAAGGGGAGCAGGGGGGGAGGACGGGGCCACAGTATGGGGGATGCTGGCCAGGGGCAGTCAGAGCTCACCATTGAAGAGGCGGGGCTGGGTTTTCGAGTGGCCTTTAGGGTAGCGGTTCCGAGCCCTGCGCAGCTGCTGTCGGTAGAAGAGGTACCCGAGCCAGGTGCGGGTGTACAGGCTGTACCTAGAGGGCAGGCAGGTGGCCTATGGTCAGCCTTTTTCCCTAGCTCCCCTAGACCCCTTCGTGATGCCTGCAGGCCCCACAGCTCCACTCCTTTGGCCACCCTGTGAGCCAATGCAATTCCACCCTCACTTATTATGTGCCTACTGTTCGCCCTGCTTAGCACTCAGGAAAAGATGGAGAATGAGACAGACACATGTAGAACTCGCAGTCTATTGGGAACGTGAACTGAGGAACTCACAGAAGAGACTTGGAGAAGCCAGGCGAGGTGGCTCACGCCTGTAATCCCAGCACTTTGGGAGGCCAAGGCGGGTGGATCACCTGAGGTCAGATGTTTGAGACCAGCCTGGCCAACATGGTGAAACCCTGTCTCTACTAAAAATACAAAAATTGATTGGGCGTTGTGGTGCATGCCTGTAATCCCAGCTACTTAGGCGGCTGAGGCAGGAGAATCGCTGAACCTGGGAGGAGGAGGCGGAGGTTGCAGCGAGCCAAGATCACAGCACTGCATTCCAGCCTGGGTGACAGAGTGAGACTCTTTCTCAAAAAGACAGAAAAAGAATGGAAGGCCGGGTGTGGTGACTCACACTTGTAATCCCAGCACTTAGGGAGGTGGTGGCAGAAGAAGTGCTTGAGCCCAGGAGTTTGAGACCAGACTGGGCAACATGGTGAGACCCCACCTCTACTAAAAATGCAAAAATTATCCAGGCATAGTGGCACCCACCTGTGGCCCCAGCTACCTGAGAGGATGAGGTGGGAGGATCACTTGAAGCCAGGAGGTCAAGGCTGTAGAGAACCATGTTTGTGCCACTGTACTCCAGTCTGAGTGACAGAGGAGACCCTGTCCTGGTAAGAACAAAATACATATCCATGTATAAGCTAAGAAATATTATTGCCAGGCATGGTGGCTCACGCCTGTAATCCCAGCACTTTGGGAGGTTGGGGCAGACAGATCACCTGAGGTCAGGAGTTCAAGACCACCCTGACCAACATGGAGAAACCCGATCTCTACTGAAAATACAAAATCAGCCAGGCCTGGTAGCACATGCCTGTAATCCTAGCTACTTGGGAAGCTGAGACAGGAGAATCTCTTGAACCTGGGAGGTGGAGGTTTTGGTGAGCCAAGATCATGCCATTGCACTCCAGCCTGGGCAACAAGAGCGAAACTCTGTCTCAAAAAAAGAAAGCAACAAGAGCGAAACTCTGTTTCAAAGAAAGAAAGAAAGAAAGATGTAGTTTTTGAGATGCTACATGAGTTGAATGTTCTTATATTTGTATTTAAAACAGGCATTGCACAGTATTAAGTGAATGGTAAAATTCCTAATAATTTAAATTCTTCTTACTTAGAATGACATTAAATAGCAAATCAAAACCATCACAGGTCAAAATAGAGACTGTAGAAGAAAAAAAGCTTCATATTTAATACTTTTAATGGCTATTTTTTCCCTGCTTTTTGAACAATTAGGTCCAAATTTCATTTTACATTGCAAATCATGTAGTCAGCCCTGTCAGCAAAGGAAGGAGCTGTCTCAGGCCCTAGCCTTGATAAAGGGAAACTGAGGCTGGGTGGGGATGGGGTGAGGTGGCAGTGCTTAGGGGCAGGGGCAGCCGTTCTTCAGACCCAAGAGTTAGCTGATTTGTCTGCAAACAGTTGGGACAAAACCAAGCAGGTTTCCATGGCAATTTGTAGAAATGATTTAGGTAAAGTTTAATCACTGCACTGTCAGCTCTGTGTACCCATGGGTTTATATTGATTGGCAGTCTGGGCACACAATTGAAGGGCTTTGCCAACCTTTATTTTGGTCTTTATGTTCCTTTGTTGGAGGCCTTTTTTCTTTTTTTATTTATTTCTAAATTGGATTTGGCCAACTTTACGCTTTCATTTCTTTAACAATATTTACTGAACCCTTGCTGTTGGGCAGGCACTGAACACACACTGAGCAAGGCAAAGTCACTGTCCTTGTGAAGGTTCTGTCTAGTAGAACAGACAGGACAATTAACATCTTTTTTTTTTTTTTTTTTTTTTTTTTTGAGACAGAGTCTCACTGTATCTCCAGGCTGGAGTGTAGTGGTGCAATCTCAGCTCACTGCAACCTCCATTTCCCAGGTTCAAGCGATTCTTCTGTCTCGGCCTCCCGAGCAGCTGGGATTACAGGCATGCACCATCACGCCCAGATGATTTTTGTATTTTTAGTAGGATGAGGTTTTGCCATGTTGGCCAGGCTGGTCTCGAACTCCTGACCTAAGGTGGTCCACCTGCCTTGGCCTTCCGAAGTGCTGGGATTACAGGAGAGACCCATTGTGCCCGCCTTTTTTTTTTTTTTTTTTTTTTTTAAAGAGATTGGGCTTTGCTCTGTCAGCCAGGCTGGAGTGTGGTGGCTCAGTCACAGCTCACTGCAGTTTGTAACGCTGGGGCTCAAGTGATTCTTCCACCTCTGTATCCCGAGTAGCCAGGACTACAGGGATAGCAGCCATGTCCAGCTAATTATTTTTATTATTTGTTTGAAGGTGTCTCGCTTTGCTCCCAGGCTAACACTGAGAGTTTCTAACACACAAGAGCATGCTCTAACACCTGGGGATCCTAGTCAAATCACCAAGTATAATGAGAAAGAGGATATTTGCATAATCTCAAAGTATCTCCTTCATAAAATAACCTCTAATTATAAAGGCCATGGAGAAACCTGGCTGACTTCACTGTAAGCCAGTGATCAAAGTTAATGTCACCAGTAACAATATATAGACATCATTTGCCTCTTGGTATGATGCACTGAGGAAGGCATAACATCACTTTGGTGGTATTTGAGCCAAAAATGCAAATCTATAATTCTTTTTTTGGGTCTCGCTCTGTCGCCCAGGCCAGAGTGCGGTGATGCGATCCATAGCTCACTGCAGGCTTAATCTCCCTGGGCTCAAGCAATTCGCCCGCCTCAGCCTCTTGAGTAGTTGGGACTACAGGTGCGTGCCACCATGCCAGCTAATTTTTAAAATTTTTAGCAGAGATGAGGTCTCACTATGTTGCCCAGGCTGTATTCTTCAAATGTATGGATAAGATGAAAGATAGACTGAGAAACTGTCCCAGACTGGAGACCAGGAGATAAATACAGCGTGGGATCCTGGACTGGATTCTAGAGCGGAGAAGGGGAGCACGATGAATCTGAGTAGGCTCTCAGGGTAGTTCCCAGGATAGTATCGATGTTAATTTCTTGGTTTTGATGACTATACTGTGGTTATGAAAGATGGTGGTATTCAGAAGCGAGAGGCACATGGAGATGCTGTGCATTATTTTGATAAGTCTGAAATCATTTCAAAATGAAAAGTTTTTGTTGTTGTTTGTTTGTTTGTTTAGATGGAGTCTTGCTCTGTCGCCCAGGCTGGAGTGCAGTGGCTTGATCTCGGCTTACTGCAACCTCCACCTCCCGGGTTTAAGCCATTCTTCTGCCTCAGCCTCGCTAGTAGCTAGGATTCCAGGCCCGCGCCACCACACCTGGCTAATGTTTATATTTTTGGTAGAGATGGGGTTTCACCATGTTGGCCAGGCTGGTCTGGAACTCCTGACTTCAGATGATCCACCTGCCTTGGCCTCCCTACAGGTGTGAGCCACTGCGCCTGGCTCAAAACGAAAAGTTAAAAAATAAAATGAAATAAAATCACCCTTTCCTCTGCCAGACACCACCTTGCACCGACACCTGAGTCCTATTTCTGTCTTCATTTCTCCCTACATGGACTTATGGAATGAGCAGAGGCTCTGGTAACAGAAAGATCTGGGCTCCCATTACAGCCTGGCCCTTCTTGGCTCTGCGACCTTGGGCAAGTCATAAGTTCTACAGATAAGGTTCCTCATCTATAACACGGCAATGCTATGACTTATTCTGAAGGACTGTGAAGATTAAGTGCCTAAAATAAGAAAACTAATGGCGGGTAGAAGATGTTTAGCAACTGCTGTTTCCTTCCCAATTCAGCCGGGCAGTCCTCCCAGCTGCTAGAGCACGGTCACGCACATCTGGGAGGGGCGATAAGCTCCCCGCCCCCCTTACTAAATGCTGACTACATGTGCCCAGGTTCTGTCCCTAACAAAGGACACCATCTGTGGGGGCAGGGACTGCGCCCCAAGAAGCCACAGTAAACAAGGTCCCTCTCTGTCACTCGCTGTGTTTGGCAAATACTGTGCGTGATGGCCACACTGGAGACAGCAAAAGCAAGGCAGAAGGGGCCCTGCCTTTGGGGAGCTCGTCACGTGGGGAAAGGGAGGGCCAGCAGATACTGAAGCAGAAACTGGATTAGTCAGCACACTGCCAGTTAACTACGGCTGGGGGTGGGAAAGAATGGCTAGAAGGGAAGAGGCCCTACTGTAGCCAGGGTGCCCAGGGAAGGCTCGTCCCCAGAGGGTGACATTTGTGCTGGAAACTGCAAGACCGAGCCAGTGGCATGGACGATTCTGGGGGATGTGGCACACGGCAGGAGGAGTGTGGGATTTTAGAAACTGCCAGGAGGCCTTGGAGTCTCTAGGCGGGGCAGGAGGGACAATCAGTGCCAGAGAAGGGGTCGGGGAGGTGGGCAGGGGCCAAGGCATGCAGAGAGTGGAAAATGGCTGGTGGGCGTAGAACAGAGCACATGGGATTGGACTCCCTTTCTTTTCTTTTCTTTTTTTTTTTTTTTTTTTTTGAGATGGAGTCTCACTCTGTCGCCCAGGCTGGAGTGCAGTGACGTGATCTTGGCTAACCGCAACATCTGCCTCCCGGGTTCAAGCAATTCTCCTTCCTCAGCCTCCCGAGTAGCTGGGATTACAGGTGCACGCCACCACGCCCAGCCCCAAAGGACTCCCCCAGGCTCCTCCTCTATCTGCCTGCAGCGCTGGCAAGTCACAAAACCCACAGTCAGTTCCCCGCCCTCTCTTTCTGGGAAAGGCCCCTGTGCTCGCAGTTGCATTTAGCCCTCTCCCTGGCATATGCACCAAAACAGAATCCCTCCCAATTTTAGCTTCCACCGCTCCCAACACAGCCTCA